ATTCTTAAGGGATCTGCCATGTATATGTGTTGCCCAGGAGAAGTTATACCCTCCAAAACTGCTACGCTAAATACATGTACTCTGATGATCAACTCTACATTAAGCAGAGATCAGACTCTGCAACACTGGTCTTGGATAAACAGTCAGCTCTGTCAATTCTGAACAGCTTGACAGTGAAGACCACTGATAACGCTCAGATGTGATCCGCTGGTGCCAACTACATTCCCAACAGATCTTATTTTTAAAAGTGTATTTCACAAAGGCACCACAGAAGTACAAATGAATTATGTGACCACAAAAGCAGACTACTCAGGGATTCTACCATTTTTTGTTTTATGAGTAATTTCTCTATTCCTAGTCTTATGAATTATGTTATTTTCTCCAGATGTTTCCTCAGTAACAGCATAGCTGAAAATCCAAAAGAAACTACAAGCTTTAGAAGCATGTAAACTAGAGAGAAATTAAAATACAATCTCCTAGCTAGTAAGTGATACACCTTGCAGCAGAACGTACCATGTAACCCATAAAACTCCAGCTAAGCAACTGGTTTTAAATATAAATTAATTCAGAGGACTTGAGCTACAACCAAAAGCAAAAATGGACACTTTGGTCTGGTAAATTACCATCTTTGTGTATCCTGGATATTGCAAAGAATAGATAATTTATTATGCTTTGCATATACAGTGTAACTACAGCTTCCTCTCCTGTAGACTTTTCAATAGTGTTTATAATTTAGCAATCAACTGAAATGATGACATTAACTACCACAGTTTTAATAAAATATTTGTATGCTGCATGCCAACATTATGAACCGTCTTCAAAGGAAAATTAATGCTGGCAGGAAGCTTCTACGTGATGAACTACGAAGGGAAGCAACTAGCTTGTTAAATAGATGCCTCTACCATCTCATTTCATCTGATAAGGTTCCTGATTTAACATACATCTTAGGAAGGGATGCTTTTCTTTATAAATATATTGCTTGGAAGACAAGGGAGTACAAGGTATTGTGGAGAACTGAAGCAGTTACTAAATGCAACTGTGAGCATCAGAAGCTCCTGTTTATGAAATGACTAGCTCTGCAGTGTAGCCTAGCCTTGAACAAATATGCTAGACTTCTAGAAGCTACTGGAAATATCAGAAAATTCCACCAGGATTCAAGCAAATACAAGCTGTACCACGGACACATATTGAGGTCACAGGGATTCACTTGCATGGATCTGAAACTCCCCATCTGTAGTGCAAAAAAGTTCACATACTAATCTTGTAACACTCTTAAGTCGCATTAAGTACCACATTCAGAGTCCAAACTCCTCAAAATAAAGTGCAAAAGTATTACTAATACATAGCAGTACGTTCCAATATTAAAACTATTGCTAAGTTGTGCATTACTGCCAACGATGCCTGGACAGGATATCTAGCTAAACAGAAGCTCTCCACAACTTGCTCCACTTTGCCTCCTCAAGTTCATCAGTAACAGCACAAATCTGTTTGTGATATCACCATCAATTTCAGAAAAATAAATGTCATGTCAACATATACAGGCTGCCACCACTAAATCACTCAGGCAGTGAAAACGGGCCAATTAGAGAAAGACGACTTTGTCCACGCCATCAATCCACCCAGTAATCGCCGAGCAACGAAGACAGCACTGGAAATAGCTGGCTTTTCCGCACAGGATCCGCAGGGTGTTAGCAGTCCCATATGGAAGTATTAGGCAGCAACTATCCAACGTGCAGCTGTCTCCAGCAAGTACTGCTAAACTCTCATGTTTTTTCCTAATGATCTTAGTGCAATATGAAGGGGAAGAGGCAGCCCCACAAGCTGACCAACATCAGTTTCTGTTGCTGGCAAACTCTGCTTTACAGTTTCTGCTCTTCTCTCAAAGGAAGTTAAGAGTACAAGCAAGTATCTTGGGGTATTGAAAGCTGAGCTAATGTCCCTGCTTTTCATTAACGTTGTCTGATACTTCCCATTAAAATATCTATTTCAACTGATACTGCTTTCAGACAATTTTCCTTGGAAAAACATTAAAATGAAGGTGGGTTTTGCCATTGCTGAAAATAGTTTAGGAAAAAAAAAAAAGCTCTGTTTTTTTCATTGTATATTGGTTGTTCATTAAACTGCTATGCTGTTTATTTATTATTTCAAAAAACATTCAGCTGGTGACCTATACTTGGAAAACTGTATGTGTACACCCTGCTTTTAGGAAGGGCTTTTTTAATAGGTCAGGCAACAGAGCTACACTAAACTGCAATTTTGCACACACTTGGGAGACATTTTCAGCTCAAATTTAACTTTTTGCAAAGAGTCCACCTGCACTCAGCAAACAGCGAGTTGTGAAAGGCAGCGCAGTACTTCCACTGCACCTGCAGCTGTGAGGCACAGCAAGCCCTGCCGGCCCTGGGTGCCTGACTGAACTGGGACATGTGGTATTTTGAACACGCACACACAAGCTCGCTCGCCCACTTTACTGTAAGTGCACCACGCAGTTAGCCTTGGCTAGCAGCGCTCCAAGCTCCCAGCTAATCTGAAGAGATGTAGCTACATGAGCGAGACATGGAGTCTAACATCAGTTGTTGTGATCACGAGACCCAGCTAGCTGCATTTTGTTAACTGTCTTCCACAGAGTCCCATACAATGTTGGTAGCAAATGAAAGTAAATTTTTTTCTTGGCAAGATCTCTGCTTTGTATTTTGCTTCCTGGGTGACTGTCTTGTGACTGCAAAGCAATGAGCACTTACAGAATGAACAAATGCAGCAGGAGTTTGACGAACAGCTGATTTGACCTTACTTTCTTTGCTTCAGTATCCTTAATAAGCATACCACCAACAACTAGTCGTTCAAATAGTGGGAGGAGACGAACAGAAATCAACAGCACAAGAAAGCCCACACAGAAGTAACCAATTCAGATTTCAGAAATAGTGCACAGCATTAAAGGCACAGGGCCACACATTGAACAATAAAGAGAAAACAAAATATTCAATAGCTACTCATTAAGCAAGTACCATCCACCCTGTGCAGTAAATGAGCCTGTGGAAAAACTAGTCTGTAATCATGAAATTAAAGACTGTCTCATAAAGCATATGCATAGGCAAATTAAAGCTGCCAGAGTAAGGCTGTTTGTGCATTCCCCAACTTTGACTGTTTGACTTTGCAAATTTAATAACGCATTTCTAATGTAGTTTTGGGCATAAGATATTTGAATTTCAAAAGCATTTGTACGCAAATTAGGTACAGCCCTCAGATTGCTGGCATGATGCCAGCACAGCCCCTGCTGCCGTGCAAGCTGGCTGCCGCTGTGCTCAGATACTGTTTTTTGTGAAAATAGTAAGAGTAGAGCGTGTGAGAGCTCGTCAACCAGCAAGCAGCGTTGGGCAGGGCAATGGTGCTCTCTGCTGGGTAAGCACCAGCACGACATGCACACTGGCATTGATGGTAAACCACCCGGCTACTGGGCTACGTGCAGGTGAACTGCTCCTGGCCCGAGTGGTTGACTAACAACTGTGGACTCTGTATCTGGACGACATTCTTGCCTGACAGACTTTACAAAACACACGTTCACGCTGTATTTCACGTGTATCAATCAAATGAAAATTCTTCTGGCTTCTCTCCTAAGTTATTTCTGTGGTAGTAGCTGTTTGAGGAGGTTTACTTCTAGCAACAGTAGTTATGTTGATGTTAAATACAAAAGAACTTGTTTTTTTTAAGTTTCCTTTTACCACAGAAAAAATGACCTCATGACTGCATAATTTAGAGACACTTCTGGCTAAAATGGTATTTTGGAAAACAGTTAATGACTTATTGCAAGTCTGAACAAACACACGTTCTGTGGGAAGAAACAATTTCAAACCATCTTACCTTTTATTGTGAAAGCGTGGATTTTTGTGTTTTGTGTGGATTGTTTGAGCGAAACTCTAGAGAGGCAACAGGGCAAAGGAAATCAGTGTCAAGCGGTTTGAACTGCCGCCTTCTACTTAGTGTACCATGCCTCAGATTATTTCCTCTCCACACATACCTCCGTCAATCCCAGGCCACCTTATCAAATCTTAACACCTCATTAAGGCCTGTGACTGTTGCATTTTACATAAACTGATGCAAGCATGTTGACTGTGGCGAATGCTGTACTCTACAGCTCAGCAGAAAGAGATGTAGTTTCAATTCTTGGTCCTTTAGTACCTGTGCCCTGCCATAGTACTCAAACTGCATGCAGACACATTGGTGAGATGTTGCTATCTGAAGTCTGTCATTTTGTACTGGCAGAAAATATTAATTACACAAACGCACAACAGCAAACTTGAAATCTGAGTTCAAAATGCACTTATAAGGAAACCTACTATTTCCTGATAAACTGGAACAAGATCACAAACATCCATTGTTCTCTTTTTTGGAGAGAATCACTGGAATTGGCAGAGCATGACAGTCCGGCATGCATTCAGTTCCATCTGGACCTTCACGTATGTAATAAGATCTGGTTTCTGATTGACTAAGATGGAAAGAGAACGTGAGAGGAGTTTTAGGACAGAGACATTTTTAAGCACCTTCTTCTGAAGTATCTCATACTGGCCACTATCAGGGACAAAGTGCAAAACTAGAAAGATCAGGTATCTGATCTGCTAATAGCGGACATTAAGAAAGCAGCAAAAAAATCCACATGGAATTAAGAGAGAGCAGAGTCTGACCTTCGCTCCAGTTTAGAATAAAGTAGGTGATATGAGCAGTCTTACAGCTAATACCACAAAGAGAAACTGGTGGGGGGAATACTCCAGGGATATTTTATGGAAAGGAGGATGAGAGAAGGAGAGTTAAACACCTCAAGAACATCTATGAACTGCCTAGGAGAATTCCTCCACAACCTTTTCAAAGGAATCCTACCAAAAGACCTGAATGATTTATCAAGTAACCTGTAACAACGCATAAAAAGAAACAAAACACACAGGGAGAGAACTTAAGGGGGGAAAAAAACCAGGCAGGTGCAAAAAGCAGAAAAAAGCAACACTGACCTCAAGCCTCTTTTCAAGTGACTCTATCCTGTCTTTTTTGCTGGCCAGGTTAGCTCTTGTGTAGCGGCTCTGTCCAGGCAGGTATAACACTTGGCTGTAACATTCTTCCCACACCTGGTTATAAGCTTCACTTGAGAGCTCTCCATGCCCCATTCCTTGCTTTACCACTTCCATCTCTTGTGCCAGTAGATCCTGTGCCTGTAGGAAACGATGAAAAATAAATTGCAGTTACAATACACAGAATACAAGAAAATTCCTCTTGTTTTCAGTCCTTCAGCATGCAATTCACAGGGGCAGTTTCTCTTTTCATACTAAAAGCACACCATCAGGTTAAGCTAACTATGAAATCTAACACAGATGCTGTGGATTATAAATGAAACCCAGGCTAGAAGGCTACTCACAGCACAACTATCCCTCATTTTATATAATTTGGCCAAAGCCGACATCACTCCGCTGTAGCTAATGAAAGCTGTGGCACAGCTAGATACTTCATCTTGCTGCAGAAGAAAAGAGATAAAAGCAAGGACCTTGAGGGGAGGGAGAACTGTACAGACAGAAGCAGCTGTTCTATGAAACAAAAATCGCTTTTCATTTCCTTTTGCTTGCCCTTCTCCACACAACCTGTAAAGTCAACTCTAAACATTAACAGGTGAGCTGTATAAGCTCCACTGCAGGAAATACTACTCTGACTTTAACTAACACACATTCTGTTGTCAGAGAACTACTAGTGAGATAATAAGCATTCTGCTGTTTCCAGTTCAGTTTACAAAGTAATTTACACTGAACTGGAAAGATTCATGCTCTTCTGACAAGTCTTAATATTTCTGACAAAGAGCCTGGCCCACAAAACTATACAGGCACCTACATCCTTCCAATTCTATCTGTAACTAAAAAACTAAAACATCTTTGATGATCTGGACTTCATTGGTTATAAGTGCATGTCTTCCCTTTCCACAGGATTTATATGTGTACCACAAATTTCCATATCAGCAGTAGATATCTCACTACAAACAAATGTATATTGTATAACAGCATATTGCCCAGGAAGTAATTCAGGTTATCACCAGAACGGATGATTCCTGGGATACCAGGGAAAGGAAAATTAATTACTTGTCCTCGATGGTCAAGACAGATAAAATAGGAGTACTCTAGCCACACCTAACAAAGCTAAATTTTAGAAAAGTTCACTTTCAATGAGTCTCTATTTGTCCACTGTGAGGAACTACTTAAGGTTATTTAGTTGTGGCACCAAAACAGTTCCACAGCTTTAAGGGCTCAGCACACTGTGCTTAGCACCACTGCTAATTCTGCCCAAAAGAGCACTACACATCAGGAAAAGAAAGGAGCATTTAATGAAGGGAGTTTAGTAGGAAGATATACTAAAAACAAATGAAGAAATGAAGCAAATTAAACAAGCCTCAGATGAGAATGCAGAGATAAAAAAAACTTCCTGGTTTGAATTTGATTTTCGACAAAGAGGGAGTATTACGCTGAATGTTACAGAGCAAGCAAGAGCAAGGATGCAAAGAAACTTCTGCTCGTCAGTTAGGAGACAAAATTTCCAGGGACTCTGAAGAAAGTTTCCAGACAAAAACTACTGGACTGTGTAATAGTCCCTACAGGAAGTGATAAAAAACCCAATTCTTGTTGCACTTCAAAATAACCAGAGCGAGCACTCCGAGAGTGCTCCTCAGGGAACGATCTGACACTGGCAGGGCAGTGAAATTCATGATCTAATTGTATTTTCCATCTTTAACTTCTGCTCAGAAATCTTCAAGTATAATTTTTCATTTAACAGCAAATTGGAAGTACATACTGTTCAGTATTTATCATTTTAGGCTCTTGATTCATTCATCAGATATGGTCAAGAAGACAGACTTGAAATCTGCTTGTGTATCTTTAGAGTCACTTTAAAGTAATATGGGATTTAGGTGTAGAGATACCACAGCTATTGTGAGAACACAAGTCTCAGATAGGAGTCTGCATAAAATAGATTACTTGGTGGCACATGATTTTGTCCTTTTTACCCATTTTTATTCCTGTAAGCATTTGGTCAAAGGTTACTGGCACAACTTCATAGGTGAAACTCTTTGAAAGAGCTAACCACAGCACTGTGTGTCTGAATTGTCTATCTGTCACTTGGCAGCAAAAGGCAACATCTGTAGCTGCTTAAATAAATGAACAACCCGAACCAGAATCCTTGGTATAGGACTGCTATTTAACTTGGGATTACAATGCAAAACAGGACAGAGTGCCCAGACAGCCTACTCATTTCATCCAGCAACAACCTATTCTGCCTATTCAGCGCTTTTTAACCAGGTATGTTTTAAGATCAGTTGCCATAGCCCAGCAGGCTCTGCACTAGCACAGCTCTATTGGACCAAGCTTTACAAGCATAATTAAGCAACTTGATTTGCTGCTCCAAGTTATATAAACTGGTTAACACTGTCATATTTAGTCTGCACTGCTATGAAAAAAATGCTTAATAATTCTGGATTAACAGACTACACAGGCAGCAGAAGGTGGATAATCACACCTAGTTGAAGGCTCAACAATTTAACATCAATTTCCAGAAACACCGAAGTAGAATTTGGTAACCGTTGGTGTGTTACAGCTCCTACCCTTACTTAAAAACATAAGCTATCACAACACATTCAAAATTGTATCTAAAAGACATCGCCTCAGGACAAATACAGCATTCTCATCATTCTGCTGAGTGTCTAGATTAACATTAGTTTACAGAAATGAGAATGTGCACTTAAACTATTCTTTCAGCTCTTCACACAACCCTTGGAGATCTCTCAACTAAATTCTGTGCAGCCTTGAATCCACCTTTTTTTTGCAAGATTACGGGACTGTGAGATAAGCAGACATTAGGTCACTGCAATTAGGCCATACAATTCTCACCTTCTTGAGATCCTCTTTGGAGAACTTCTCATAAGGATTTTGTTCCAAGTAAGCCATATGTTCTGCATTGTTGCTTCCAAAGCCTGGGCCCTTCCCCTTCTTACCACTAGGCTGTTCACCAAATGGGTGGTGTAAAAGATCAAAATGAAGCATAGTAATCATCTCTTTCTTTATTAGCTCTTCACTTTTCTGCAAGTCTGTTAGAGGTGGTTCCACATTTAAGGGTCTCAGTATTGTTTCATTAACCTGCCCAGGAATAAAAAACAAAGTTCCTAAACACCATACACACCAAAGACCACGTTAAATTCACATACCTCCATCTGAGCATGAATTTTATATAGCAGCTAAACCGTGCAGCACAGGTGCCAAAATTCCTTGCGGTGTGACACACACAGCAATCCGAACACCCAATTGTGCTTTTATTTCTGCATATGAAGTACCTCATGAAAATTTCGCTGTGACAATTTCCCATAATGCTGAAATCAGCAGACTCAAAGATTTCATTCTCTCGTGATCTACCTAGATCGTATTTTCTCCAATAATGGTGAACACCTTATTTCTATTTTTTTCCTTAAAAGTGAATTTTGTTTCCACTTACTTCTGAGGGCCGTGGTAGATTCTTCTGAACAGCTTTGTGCATTCTCTTCAGCTCCTTTGCACGTTCTGCATCTCGGAGAGCCTAGACAAACAAACTAAACGTTACTCTAGCTACTGTAATACAATCAGATGCTTTCTAAAAATGTATGTGATATAAAACCTAATTGATTACTGCAGCAAAGATTTCTTAAAAGTATAAAGATCTCATGTTATGAAGCCAGAGACAAATAACAGGTCACTCTATACATGACATCATAAGTTACTGCCTCTAAAGTAAACGGGAAGAGCACAGCAGACTAACTCTAAGAGGAGAGATAGCCCAAAAAGTCATTCCCAGGCATCAAATTCTCATTCAGCTTCAACCCCAGCAGACTTCTTTCTTTACAAATTTCTCCACATCAAGTTTGACATCTGGCCTAACTCTCCAGACAGGAAATGCACCAGGAAAAGAAAGACTCTTAAATTTGCAGCCAGGACACTTTATGCCATAGAAGATGACACACAGAAACTACTTCACTAAAACAATACTTATTTTACTGTAAAAAAGAAAGCGTAAAACCATGAGATTTCTCCTTACATTCCACTTTCGGGCAATAACTAACACAAAAAGGCAGCGTTGTCTGTAACTTCACAAATGATGACCAAGATCTTCCATGTTCTAAGCCCAGCCATGTCATGCCTTCACTTGAAAGGCAGGATGCTATTCTCTTGTATGATACTACAACTCAAATTCTTTTCTCTATTCTACACACATTATCTGTATTTATGCAGAGTGTGTGTGCGCACGCACACACACAAGACACGCATATAAGTGTATATATGATGTTTCTCCCCAAATGGGACATGTTGGAATCAAATTCTGGGAAATGCTTATCATATTAGAAGATATCAGAGCATAGCGTCTTTTTTAAAATGTTTTGTTCACTTGTCAAAGCACACTCCTTGGCAAAAACATTTCTTTGAAGTTATATAACAAAAACAGATTTGCATCACACAAATTAGGATAAGCAATAAATTGAAAAGAGACTGTTCTAATAAACAGAAAACTGTAAAGTGTCTCTAATTACTGGCTATTACAGCTATTTAGCCAGCAGAATTTAAGCTAGCATGTTATCTGGCCTTCCTTGATTCTGACAAAACAAAACAAAACAAAACAAAAAAAACCACAAAACAAAAATAACCAAGGACCCATTCACAACTTGGCTGTCTGAATAAACCTGTGGTACAAGTCATAGAAAAGGGACCGACTGACTGCATGGCAGACTTCTATCTGTGTACCACCAGCCTGCCTCAATTTGTATACACCTGTCTTACATTTCACAAACAGTAACTATTAACCTCAAGAGAATAACCTGAAACTGGAAGAAAAAAAAAAAAAAGCCAAAGCCAAAAAAAAAAAAAAAACCAAAACAAAAAAAAAAAAAAACAAAAGCCAAAAAAAAAAAAAAGCCAAAGCCAAAAAAAAAAAAAAGCCAAAGCCAAAAAAAAAAACACAAAACAAAAACAACCAAGGACCCATTCACAACTTGGCTGTCTGAATAAACCTGTGGTACAAGTCATAGAAAAGGGACCGACTGACTGCATGGCAGACTTCTATCTGTGTACCACCAGCCTGCCTCAATTTGTATACACCTGTCTTACATTTCACAAACAGTAACTATTAACCTCAAGAGAATAACCTGAAACTGGAAGAAAAAAAAAAAAAAGCCAAAGCCAAAAAAAAAAAAAAGCGCACAATTCTTTAGTGCTTAAAACCAAGCATGTGCTTCTGTAGAAAAATGTTTTAAATTCTATTTCTATCTTTTGGGGGACAAATGCAGGAGATAGGATATACACACTCTTAAGAGACTTCATCAGAGAAAATGACACGTGATATATAACAGGAACAAATTGAGAAAAGGATTCAGAGAGAAAACCAATTTAGCCTCTGTGTGTGCCTATTCTGAAGGCAGCAAGGAAAACAGGTACATTTTACTTTATTGTTCTGTAGAAGCTGTACCACTTCCACTAAACATGTATGAAACTATGGGAACCATACAAGGAACATATTTTATTTTAAACAACGGGCACTATCCACATCACACACACCTACCTGCTTGCGGGCATCTATATCAGCAGTATCTTCTACGAAGGCTTCATCTACTTCATGTTCCTCCAGTTCTTTTTCTGCATTTTCAGGTAAAACAATCTCAAAGTCATTCTTTGGAGCAGGAAGAGCCATGAGTCCAAGGCGCAGGTGTTCACGAGACTCTCTCTCCTGTTGAAACAACAGTAAAATATAATGCTTCTGAATTCACGCGTTAAGGTGCAATATGATCAGATTCCATTCATCTACATTAACAGATGTGAACAATACACAACTAATATCATCTGGCAATCTCAGTCTGCTACAAAGCCAAAGAAACAAAATCTCTGAAATCTGACAAAAGGGGCATGTTACTAATCCGGGCTGATTTACAGACCACCAGCCCAGAGTTTATGCACTATTAAGCACAGAAACTCTCCAATACTAAAAAACAGACCACTTTCTTGAAGATAGCTAATGAAATCTTCAAACAAGCTGAAATACACTTAAGTAAAACAACAGCACAGCACCTTCACCTCTCAGTAGTTTCAATACAACAGCAGAGACTCACATAAATACCTTTCAAGAAATTGAAAACATGAAAATATGTCCACACTGACAGTGGACACATGGATATTTGCAAGCCTAACCGGAACATTTTTCATTGCAGTTGCTCACAAATTTGGGGATTGTGGCACAGTACAAAAATGAAACAAACAGCACCAGATCTGGAAACCAGTGACGTCCATCAGGAAATTGAAGTCCCAGTTTTACTTCTAGGAGCAAAAAGCCTTTTTACTATAAAAAGGCTAAGACAGAACCAATGTAAGTATAAGGACATCGAGTGAACCTTGTCCTTCAAGCTGAAAGGAAATCTGAAATTCTGAACTTGGAAGAGTTATTTTTTTGAGAAGAACATGCCAAAAACTTGAGGCGGCTATCCTTAGCTAGCCCAGAAAGAAAAATGTCAATAGCTCTGGTGGAAGATATCCAAAGTCACAGTTAAGGCTGCAGAATCAGCCACATAAAAGGAGCTTCCAAGGTGCTGCCTATTAGGTGTATGCCCTTTTTTACCATGTCTAATTGGCAGAGTACATCTGGCTGAATCTCCAAGAATGGAAACATCTGTTGCCAAAGGCGATGAAAGAATCTGGATAGGACTCAGATTACTGGACATCTCAAAACCAAGTGCTCCTAATGGCTAAAATTAAAATCCTTTAGCTCAACGTTGTCAACAGGACAGACTGATGAAAAGGTCCTGTAGGTAAATCGGGAAGCCAAGATGATGAGGGATTTGAGGGCTGCATAGGTTTGCAAGAAAAATGAATCCCTCCTTCTGCTGAGCTTCAAAGATACCAAGTAGGTCTGAAACTTAACTACATCTTTTTTGACAAATGGCTTCAGAGTGCTTGTATTGAGCACACTGAAGCCATTCTAAGTGGCAAGATTTCTGTTCTTTCAAACAAAGATTTGATTTTATCAGGTGATCAGTACAGACCTGTAAACAAGTAGTAGAAATAACACTTGCTTTTTTACAAAATAAAATTCTGTTCAGGAGATGAGAATTAAAAATCCTGAAAATTATTAGAGCACTGATTTCCACTTCTTAAGTACTTCTTACCATTTGTTTTGCGTAAGATGGGTCACTGTAATCTGCCATTCCCTCTTCTGGGTTGATGTTCAATTTATCACGCAGTGGAGTTCTACCAGGAGTTGTACCAACCACAGGTTTAGGAGTTAGTCCTCCACGAGGAGTTAAGCCTTCTGGACCATGAGAAGGAGTCCTAGAGGAAGTGCGGATACAGTAATTTAGGTTTTCCTGAAAAGCTCTACTTGCAAAAGTCTGAAAGCTGCAAAAAGTTATATAAATATCATTAATAAATTCAATCTAGATTTTTTCCTTGGAAGGTAGTGGTACTATAATATGCAGTTACAAAAATAAAAACACCAAATTGTTTAAACCTGTCAAGGTGTTACCAAGATCCTGTCAAGCTGAAATCTAGGCACATCATTATGTTAAGAGAAGCTTCAGGACCTACATCAGCACAAACTCCCACCGCTACTTTTGAGAGAAGAGATTATCCAGTCACCAGGTACTATTCTGGGATACAGTATCAGGATTTAATTGCAAGCTTTGATTTCCCTACCCCCTGTGGCAAGTCATTCACTCTGAATTCACCTGGCTTAACAGCTGTCCCATCTTACAATTGAATGCATCATTCTGAAGATGCCTCTTTGCTTTTGCTGATTACTGAAGGTGTAATTACATTACAATAATTACTTTCAAGCACCTAAGGTTAGGCAAGATGGATTAAGTCTTAGATTTTGTGGGCCTCAGTTGCTTCTCCTCTAGACTGGGAAGACATGTTGTTCTCTATCTCAATAACCTCCTACATGAAAGGCGTGCAGACATTATCTTGGATACAGTCACAAGTTTTCTGTTGCCAACTTATACTGAGGTTTCATATAGTGATGATAATAATAAAAAAACTGGTAAGACATTGTTAAATGTCTCAAAGAAAACAAGTTCAGGAAGGGGAAAAACTTTTAGAAGAAAGGCTACATTATGGTTCTCATCTACGCTTACATAAATATTTTCAGACAGCAATGACAAGTATGCGTGTTGTAGAGAATAACCCTGGGCAGAGACAGACTGGACAACATGATTTAATACATCGTTTGCGCTACTAGTTACTTTTAATTCTGTAGTGCCAGTAAGATGCCATAATGGTGGACAAACACAATTGTATATAGAGCCTGACACACACTCTACTGGTCCTCTTTTAAGGGATACAACAAGTGCCTTATTTACTGGGTATGTCTGTGAGAGGCAAGTGATACTTTCCTCTTGCTTGAGGTGGTTCACAGATTTTTATGACCTCTCATTTAGGATAACAAATACAAGAATCACATTTGCAGGATGACACCTGCAAAAAAAACAGCAAAATATATTTTTATGTTCTCAAATGAATGTTTCATAGGATACATTTACTTTGGTTGATCATACTAGCAGAAAAGGCCTTATGCCGACTTTCCAGAAGAAACAACTTCCAAGTAAGCGGGTGGTTGTTTTTTAGTTGTCTCAGTTCCATGCAATGTTTAAAACCTTATTAAAATTTTCAACTTAATACCTTTTAAGAAAGTTCTTGCAACTAGGATGTGGAAAATAGAACACAAAAAAATCTAGTGCAAGGCAACAACTTCCATAAAAACCTTGCATCAAAATATTACAAATTTCATACCATCATAGCAAAAAAAGGTGTACATAATTTAAATATTTGCTCTTTTGGCCTAAACAATAACATGATGGCTGTGCTTCACTACTCTGCCTCCTCAAAAAGTTACAGCTTCCTTTTCTTTATTTTTAACCACTTAATGGATTTTTTTTCTCTCTGAAGGTCTTGAATTTTCACACTGACACAGCATTTCTGCAAACAAACCAAGATGATACATAGGTACCACATTTATCTGTGCAAATCTGAACTTCAGAAGCTAAAATAACACCACAAACAACAACAACAACAAAAAATAAACACCAAACAGCAAAATTAAAATGTCTTTACATTTTTTAATGTAAAATAACCCAAATGAACAGACAGATCACTCCAGGCCAACCTCTACATTCATTCTGCACCTCACTGATGCCAACAGATCTCCAGAAAGGTTTTATTTATGTAGATCCAATTAAAAGAGCAGCGCTTTTGCACACAGCTTTTAAACAGCAAAATAAAGCTGCTTTTGAAAAGATGCCATAAAGGTCCTTTTTATTTCATCCTTTACTTTTCCTACTAGCATGATACAAGTAAAATTACAACTTAAGTTGAAAAAATTGACAGACAAAATGTACCAAGTGTAGTATTTTTTAGCTGTATGGTATTTGGCATTTGTGGGATATATATTTATTCAGGACCCACTGTAACAGTTAAACCAGCAATTCCATACTATTTAGATTGGCAATAAAAGAAATATTTTATTTTGGATATATATGGCTTATAAAACATTTACTCCAGCTTTTCAGAAATTCAGTGTGGGTTTGGCTAAGGGACCTCCCACACCTTTGACTCGGAGGTAATACTTTGGAAAGGCTAGGACCCACATACAGAATGAAACTCCATCTTACTATTTATACTCCTGTATTACTTCAGTATAATTTATATTGCTCCAGACCACAGAAGACTTCATTTTGGACCAGAACTCCAGTGAGCTATACACTGTACAAATATAGATGAAGACAATGTGGCCGAGCTTGTGAAAGACACAGAGGAGAAAGTTGTACAGCAAGGGCTTGAAATAAAAACAAGTTAAAATTTATTTTGAAGCACTGATCATAACCTACTATTTCACACACTGCAATCCACTCCCTCCACCAGATACATGCCCAGCCAAGTACCCATTAGAAAAAGAGGCTGCTTTACCTGAAGGGTGTGGAAAGCACGGTATTTGGAGTCTGAACAACCTGTTTCTGTGGTGTTACCCCCGAAAAGTCACTTTCATGCAAGGGAGTGTTAAGACCTCCTTTCAGGGGTGTATCCACATTTGTGAGAGCCATCAAATTCTGTGCTTCCTGTGTAATAGATAACACAAGCGGTACATCACTAAGATTTTCATAGTCACACTCTACTATCCGTGTTTCTTATATTCAGTAGCAGTAAGAACAGCTGAAGAGTTATTTGAAGATCAGTTTGTGGAAAAAGTTTAACACTTAACTTTTAACTCCCATACACTGGTATTTACAAATCTACTGTTCCACTGAAAAGGATTTTAATCTTAATTTCCAACAAAATATATTATAAATTGGCATCGCAAAAACGAATGTGTTACTTAATGTTTCAGCTTCCTTCAGTTTGCCGGACTTCATAAATCTGCAAGACTTACTAGAGACTGAATACTCAAGTCATCCTAAAGAACCTGATTTTCAGAAGGAACAGCACACTTGCACTCTGAAATCCAACATTAATGAAGTTTATCCAAACTGCACTTCGAAGAGAATGTTCCAAAAGGGATGGTCAGTATTCAGAATTTTAGTCCATGACTCAACTGGGGCTTTTATGAATATCCTCCCTCCCCCTTTTTTTTTTTTTTTCCCTTTTTACAGCAAAGAATTAAGGCACTCTGAGCTGAGATAATGAAACTACTGTATATAGCAATTATCCATCTACAGAACTGTGTATATGCATAATACTGTGACATATGTGATGTCAGAGTACTCCATTTGAAGGTGAAGATGGCCATTCCTGCAAACGCTGCACAGAGACTTAGGTCATGATCTGTAGATTCAGGAACTTTCTCTTTTTCTCCTATCATGAAACTGTTGACATATAGGTCGTTATCAACACAGGGTTTTTTTTTTTTAGTTTGAGGTGGGGTTTTAGGGGTGAAGTTTTGTTTGTTTTACACACTAGCTGCACTGATTTCATTTAGCCGTTTCCCCACACTCAACAAAACACTACCCAACACTACCAGTTTTTGAAAGAACCCAGACACTCACACAATCGGTGTAACACAAATATAATTCAGAGGTTGCAAAGGTAGGTTTTTGACAATCTTTGTCTTAAAAGGTTTTAAGCCAATGAAGTTCTAGGAAAATATTCTTGCATTGCTGCAGTTAATTACTTCTTGCTAACTGAAATAAAAGCTGAACAGAAAAACTACATAGGAAACAATGTAAAAGACATTGTTCTAAGGACATGAACACCTTACATTTCTTCGACGCTAAGAAGTACCCAAGACAAGGGGAAATTATCTAAGACACCAGGACAATGGTTAATGCTAGAAGTTGCATGCAATACAAAAAAGAAAAGTATCATAGTGTTTTGAAGCATGGTGACAACTGATCAGATAGAAGTGGATCTGCTTCTATGCCTTTCAGTGTGTCCCAAAGATTATGTGTCCATTTAAACCCCAGTACCACACATAATCTAAGGAATGTTTCTATGGCACTTACACCTTCCATTCAGTTGACTACTGCACTAAAACTAAAAGCCCATTCTGTACATTTATACTCTACCTGCAGGATCCTGTCTTGTGCTGCCGGAGTTTTGGGAGTCCTTAGTGCTATGCTGTTGTTGGTCACATTATATTCAGACAGAAGAGTACTGGAAGCTGAGTTTGTAATTCCAGATTCCTCAGCAGTCTGGCGTGCAATCTCACTTGCCTGGCCTACTTTTACAACTTCTTCAAGTTCTGTATCAGATATCTTTAAAAGAGAAAATTCCAAGGCATAATAAGATAAAATGCAACCACAAGATCCACTTGATGAAACAAAAATCACTGACTGGCATTTGCCTTATAAGTAATTTATCGATCAATGAACAGCTTACCTGAGGAGCTGGAAGCACTAGTTTACTTCTTTTTTTGGTAAATTCTGACACTCCGCTGGTCTGTAGAATAGCTGAAGGCAAGTCTGATTCTTTTTTCCGTTTCATATGTTGTTTGTCTTTTTTGCGCTCTCTTCCTTCCCTTTCACTGTCATTATGGGTAAGAGAATAATTTTAGAACACACTGAACAGCTACAAAGTAAAACAAACAAGGAAAGAGCAAAAGGCCAGCACTCTAAACAAAAGTTGGATACACTGAAATAAAACATGTTGCAGGAAGAGTGAACCACCTTGCAGTGCAGAAGTTCAGCAATTAGATATGGTCTGCAGACCTTGCAGCAGAACCTACAGCAAGGCAGTGTAACGCTTCTAAATTATGGAATTAGCCAACAGGTGGTTACTTCAGCTACAATCAACAGGTCACTGGAGCAAGAAAAAAAAAAGTCAGTCCATGAATTTAAACACCAAGGATCGGAGGATGTGAACAGTCCCTTTTTCTCCAGCAGCTGCTAAGGGAAGACAAACATTCTCTGTGGGATATGGGAACCAGTTTCTCTTCAGTATTTAATAAAAATGGTATTTTCTTCAAATAGCAATAGAATCGGCCTATGAAATCATAAGTTTCAGCTTGAAGCTCCTGCCAGACCTTCTGAACTAAGAGCCATACGGAAAGAATCAATTTGATCATAAGCTAATAAACCAAATCGTATGTAAGTACTGGACCTACCCTCTCAGTAAAAAAGTTGGCAAAAGTAGTGGGAAATGCAATTGTATAATTATGTACCATACCGCTCATGATGAAGATGGGCATTTAATTTCTCAACTGCAGGTTTTGGGATTTTTTGGGAGATTAAGCATTTAAGAGGATTCTACTTAAGAACAAGTCCATCAAAAGTAATACTATAACAAGTAAAATCTACTCCTGTAAGCAATCTTAATAATGTTATGACTTGGAGCAAGTGCTGAAAAATATACAAGTAAATCTACTGCTAAAAGAAAGTGAACCCCAAAAAGCTTAAGATTTCCAATTAAAGAGCAAGAACGTGCATGAGAAACTTTACTCTCATGGAAAAGGGGTCAACTGGACCTTTTAGGAAGATAAAAAACACAGGAGACGGAAAAGGCAGAAGCAATCTGCACTAGTATCTGTCCCATGCAAAATACAACTCCTGTCCACATTGTTCCATGTCCACATGTATTTCCAGGACTTAACACACACACACATATATGGAGTTTTCTTCAAATATACTGTTCCCTCCTTAGTATAACACACACTTACGATCTTAATTCTCCATCCAGGTCTTGCTGACGTAGTTTCCTGAAATCTGCATCCAGGGACTGGTAGTTTTCCTCTGATGTATCATAAAAACCAGGGGCAGGCTTCTTTTCAAATGGAATCTCTGCATTATAATCCACACCTCTCTTCTTTTTTCTTTTCTTCTGGATCTCAATTCCAGCAGCCCGGAGTTCTCGTCTTTTCTGGAGAGCAGCAAGCCGTCTAAGAAAACAGTAATACTATGTGATTTGAAGTGCACATCTATGGGTGGCTTCTGTCTCTTAAGATCTGCTACTACTTTAATCAGTTGCTGCTGTGATAGGGCTGCACATATTTATACAAGAATGAAGCTCTTGTCACAAATGACTATTGAAAAGACTGATTCTGCAATGACTTAACGCTGTGCCTGACTTTATGCATTGTAAATTCTCCAGTCACCAAAAGGAGTCCCAATATATGAAACTAAGCATAAGTTTACCTAGCTTCTTCCAGCTGCTTCTCTCTTGCTTTTCTTTTGGCCTTCTTTCCCTGTGTATTGGCCAGACGAGCTCTAGCTTCAGACAGCATTTCAAGTTCATCTACAATAGTGCAGATAAATACAGATATGAATTTCCACTTAAAAATAGGATTAAGGGAAAAAGTGACATTAGTATCAGCAAGCATCTTTAAAAGCTGAATGAATAAATGTTTTCACAAGCATTCTGCATGATCGCTAAACTCGATTTCTCCATGTTGCTCCAATGTATTTTATAGATCATTGGCAGATGAAGCAAAGACTTTAAGAAAAAATTCCTAATGTTAGGAATAATTCAACTAATTTCTACAGCAAATCAAAATATCTACATAAAGAGGCAAACTGACCACACTAACAAAATTATAACTTCATTTACATCTTCATCTGGCAGTACTATATTAGAGAACTTATTAATTTCATTTACATGCACTTTCAAGAGTGCTACATTTGTGAACCTGTGACTGTTTAACAACACTGTTAGTCCACTCCTGGAATTTTAGCGATGTTCATTTTTCAGTTCATAACACTACCATGTGCAATGAAAAATAGCCGTGTAGTCCTCCTATGCTTCAGCTGGGATTTATCTGAGGGGTATAGCTGATGGAAAAAGATGAAAATACAGAAATAAGAATGCAAACAAGCAGAGCTGTTGTCAAAGCAAAGAACAGTCAGCCATTGCAAAAGATGATAAGCAGTGTTCCCCAGGGCTTGGTTCTGGGAC